CGTATTTATTCTCGAAATTATTATAAAAGCGTATATTGAACATAATGCTTGAAAAAATTAGGATCTAGATAGTTTCACCCGAGGGCGTTCGGCTAGACTTTTCATATTGTCAGTGTTCAACTAGTGTTCGAAAGCGGAAAACGTTTAAATAAAGGCGGGAAAAGGGAAGAGGGGTGGCTAAAATTTTGACAATGTTCTAGTCCCCTTGGCCCTACCCATACATAGTAACCAGATATTATTTTAAGATACTTTTAAGATACTTTTTCCACAGTTTTATTACAATATGGAGAACAATCATATTTGCCCCCCAAATTCAATAAATTAAAGAAAATTTTATGATTCCGTATATATTTTATTGTTTACATTCTTATATAATAATTTATATATATTATTTCAATGGATCGCTACGATAATATTTGTTGGAATCTTATTCCTCAATCGAAAACAGTTGATTAAATAACCCCTCTAGGTAAATCAGTAAAAAAAAAAATAACAAATTTATATTTTCTAAGGTTTCGATTAGATATTCGGATATATAATATACCATCCTCCCCAATAACTAATTGTAACTAAAATATACGATTCTACCATTTAAATCTGTTTCTGTGTGGGTTTTCCGCCCGTACCCCCTTTCGCGCATAGTTTTTTGAAAAATCGCCTACCATTTGATTAGTTATTGTAAAAAAATGTCGTATACGTCTGCCCCCACAACTGCGTTATATAAATGAAAACCATTGGAATTTTTATATTTTATCTTTAAAAACTTCGACAGCTATTCAAAAAAAAGTTTTCCCTGAAAAAAAAAAAGGACAGCTAAAATAACTTTATTTATATTAAATATCGAAATTTATCATTGAAAGCCATTTAATATATGTCACTATTTTGTAATATATCTTATGCAATTTTTTTTAAAACAAAAATATATGTTAGTTAGAAAGTTTTGAAGTGAGACCTAGAATATAGGATTTGTAATCTCGACTCTCTAGAAGGAATAAGAAGAAAATGTAGCATATTTATTTTTTTTTAATTCCTAAGATATGTTAATTTATATAATATATTGTATAATTAAATATATTATATACTTATCTACATTATAATATATCATACATATAATATATATAAGGCGACAAATTGTCTAGTATTAGTTAGTTATATGCACAGTTTGACCTCTTCTTTTTTTTTATACACACATCATTCACAATAGTTATACATAATTTTTTATTATAATTTTGTCAATTTTTATCTTTTTCCTTATTATTTGTTCGCAAAAAAAATAATATATAAAAAAATATACCTTTAACTTAAACTAAAGAAAAAAATTGAAAATTAAGATAACTTTCATATTTGGGGGGGGGGGGGAAATGGGGCTAGGGGAGATACTATGTTATAATATTTATGGGAAATTTCATTTTTTAAGTTGTAAAATTTTAGATTTAAGTTAGTAAATTTTATATGATTCGTTAATAATTTTCAATATTTTTTTTTATGTCATAATTATAATGTATAGTGTTATTAGTAAAAATATAATTATTTTTTTTAATTATCTCATATTTTTAATATACCAAAGTGATATATAAAAATATATCACGTTTAATTACACATTATATTATAGAAATTAATGTGTATTTTTTTTGGGAGGAGAAGGAGATTTGGTGTTTAAATAAGGGTCCCAACCAATCAAACAACGAATGGTACAAATACAATATTTCTAAAAACCAATGAGTGACCCGGGTTAACTAAAAAAAAAATTTTACACCAATTGGCGGCTGCGCATAAACATACCTCTTTGCTGATTATACTAGTGGAGACCAGACTATAACAGCAGATGTGATACATTAGAGGATAAAACTAATTGTATCATTGGATAATAGCCACATCATTAGACTACAAAATAAATAAAAAAACCAGGGGCTTTTTGCCTTTAATTCTGTTGGCTCTATTTAAGGTTCAAGTAAATATAGTGTTTTTACTATTTACCAACGAACCTGTGTAAAATATGAAGCATTTCGGGGAAATGTTCCCATTTTTAATACACTTTAAGTCTTGGCGTTTTTTTTTACTATGGTTATAACTTTTGCCGCACATTATACAATTTCCAAAATTAGATTTTAATAATTTTTTCATATGTAGTTTAATGCTCATTTATTTGCCATTTTTGCCCCCTGACGTTTAGCCCCCTGGTGGGTAGGAGTTAGCTTATAAACAGCGCTAAAGAAACTTTTCTAGATAAGCTAGTATACTTAAGAACTAAATTCATCCCGTAGCTTAGACATTGGCCAGTGTAGTGAATAAATTTCATAAAAATCTGAACGAGTAGTTATTCCTGTGCTCTTGATCAATATTTCTCGAATAAGGAACTCACGTTACTGAACCAACATATGGTAGATAGGTATGAATAGAAATGCATCATCTGACCGAAATTTAAAACAATTAGTCCTAAAGATGAAATAGTCGTTTGCCCATTTTACCCCCGCCTGCCGAACAGCCCCGGTATCTCCTATTACAAGAAAGATCGAAAAAAATTTAACCTACTTTACTTCGCCAGTTTAAAAAAAAAGAAGTTCTCAGCTACTCACCTCTAATAATGGTCTAAATTTTAAAAACATTTCCCGCCGATAGTTTCAAAAATCCACCCGATGCTAAGCATTTCGTTTTTTTTATTACCAGATTATTTGACGTCTACAAATGACAAAATTTTTAAGCCCGGTTTAAACCGGTTGGGAGTTAGTTTTTGCCCAACCCTATTTGTCCAAAATTGTACTAGGCTCCGCCCAATTCGAATAATTTTTACTAAAGTGATCCGGTCTGACCCTGTTTTTTATCCTATGGAAAAAATAAGCATTAATATCCAAAAAATGTAGGAAAAGGAAAAAAATAATATCGTATTTATCAGAGTTGTTAAAGGATCTAGATACAAGTATCTAGATCATAAAAATGTGGTATCTGTATTTAGATACATTTTTGATTAAAATATCTGTATCTAGATATTATTTTAGACGATGTATCTGTATCTAGATCCATTTAAAAAGTATCTTTTAACAACTCTGGTATTTATGAATGAAAGATCTTGATCATTTAATCCTTAAAATTGTAAGTTAAAACAGAAATATATTATTTTAACAAAAAATTTAGGGTATTAGTAATCAATTTTTTTCTCTTTCCATTCTCTACCTAATCGCATCCTGTATTTACTACTTTTTGCAAGTCCGGTCCAGCCTGCTAAATTTTTTTTTGCCCGATCTGGCCCAAATTTTTTTTTTCCGACATTGGGGACAGGCCATGACAGATCTCTAAGATCTCTAATAGGGAGAGGCCATTTATTTCGGGATAAATTTTCATTGGCTTTAATATGGGTAAAATTTTATTATCGAAAAGAAAGGAAGAAAGAAAGGAAGAAAGAAAGGAAGAAAGAAAGGAAGAAAGAAAGAAGAAAGAAAGGAAGAAAGAAAGAAAGAAAGAAAGGAAGAAAGAAAGAAAGAAAGAAAGGAAGAAAGAAAGAAAGGAAGAAAGAAAGAAAGGAAGAAAGAAAGGAAGAAAGAAAGGAAGAAAGAAAGGAAGAAAGAAAGAAAGAAAGAAAGAAAGAAAGAAAGAAAGAAAGAAAGAAAGAAAGAAAGAAAGAAAGAAAGAAAGAAAGAAAGAAAGAAAGAAAGAAAGAAAGAAAGAAAGAAAGAAAGAAAGAAAGAAAGAAAGAAAGAAAGAAAGAAAGAAAGAAAGAAAGAAAGAAAGAAAGAAAGAAAGAAAGAAAGAAAGAAAGAAAGAAAGAAAGAAAGAAAGAAAGAAAGAAAGAAAGAAAGAAAGAAAGAAAGAAAGAAAGAAATATATTATCGACACTTATATATCTGTTTTTCTGTTACGTTAATTAAATATCATTTTTTTATTGATTAATAGACTTCTTTGATCAATTTGTGTTATATACTATATAATTAAATTGATTTTTTTTTATTTCACTGAAGAGGTGCTAATTATTAGCTGACTTAAATTTTAATTAACCCTTTAAACTCGCTAATAATTAACGAAATACACACCATTACATTACTACGAAATAGATAGATAGACCTGTGCAAAATATGAATCGAATATATATATATGCATCCATTATATATTATAATTGTAAGAATTATATAAGTATATTATATTTCGAAAGAAAAATTCGTTTAAAAATGTTTATATTTAAAACAAATAGAAAGGGAGAGAGAGAAGAGAGAGAGGAAGAGATAAAAGAAGAAGAAGAAAGAGAAGGAGGGGGGTTTTGCCCATTTATGGGGCCTAAAAATTTAGAATTTTTGTTAAAATAATATTTTAAACAAAATTGAAATCACAATTTCTGCTACAAATAATCTAAGAAATAATGATCTTAATAAAAAGAAAAATTGAATGAACAGATTTTTTTAAAAAACTGTCATCTGTTACGTTTTTATGGCCTAAATAAGAATGAGTGTGTGCAGATATGTTTGGAACCTGTCATTGAAAAATCTCTGGGCCTAAATAATATTATTTTGGATAAAATCTTAATCGGTCCGTTTTTAAAAAACAGACTCAAAAAGACCGTTTAACAAACACTTAGCTGCTGCGTCTAATATAAAGTTCGTTAATTTTTACTAATCTACTTGATTCCACTAAAAAACATAGATTCGTTAAATTAATAAATTTATTTATTTATTTTTATTGTAATATATGCCTTTTCACCCTAGTGGTGTGTCCTAAATGAAACGCCTGACTTAGTCGGTTTCTAGTCGATTTGTGACCGACCACCAAAAAAGTTTTTAACACTAATATTATCAACACAACCTAGATGGTTTTAGTAAAGTATGATGTCAATGAGGGAAATAATATGTGCAGATATTTCCTCACACCCTCTTTTAAATTTATAAATGGTTTAAAATTCTTGTTTTTATTTTCTTCTTTTGTAAAAAAAAACAAATAATTTTATTCCTTTAATTTATTTTTTTTTTGCCAATTAGAAAATAATCCATATTAAGTGAGTAATTTTCAAAAAAAAGGTATATAATAGAAGGGAACGTAAAGGAAAAGTCAAAAACAGCCGCCAGAACGAGACGGGAAAAAGAGAATACGGAATTTTTAGAATTGGCCAAACTGTTGCCCATTCCTTCCGCTATAACGAATCAGCTTGACAAGGCCTCTATCATAAGATTGACCACTAGCTACCTCAAAATACGACAAATTCTACCTAAGAGTATAAAAAAGATATACTTATTATACATTTTTTGAAAATATTTTTTTTTTTTTTATGATTTCTTAAAAATGATATAAGAATATAAATTATAAAAAGAAATAAAACATTCTCTATATAGAGTTCCGGGAATTCCCGTCAGTCGCGAATTTTCGCACCGTTATTCAGCCGGTTAAATTTTTTACCCGGTCTAGCCCGGCCGCGGACGGTTAAAATATTACAAAAAATTCTTTTTAGCGAATTTTCCGGTTCTGTATTTTTATTTTTATCTGATCTTGACAATGACAATTGTGGCATTTACATGTTTTCCTTCTAAGACTATCTATTTCTTTTTGCGTAAATCAGTTGTGCTCGATGTGACAAGTAATTGTGTAATTGTAATTGGATTATAATCATAAATTACTAGTTTAAATTATATATTTTTTTTGTGAATTTTAACTTATACTATTTTTAGTTAAACATTAGTTAGACAATTCTTTGATAATACAAAATTAATTTTCAAATTTTAATAATCCAAAATCATAAATGTTTGCTTTGAAATTCAATAAAAAAAAATCACCATCTTATTTTTCCTGGACTTGGCTTGATGAAAATTATTAGAAAAATCAGAGATTTCCCAATGACATATAATAATACCTTAGACTGACGATGCATTTATTAGGGAAACGCCATTTTGGTTACCCATATCATTATTAAAAAATTTTAAATGACCAATTAAATTACTAGTTTAACAAACTTTATTAAAGAAACCCCTGATCATCGAGATAATAAGGAAGCAATTTATCAATTTATTAGCAGTATTTTAACATGAAGAGAAGAGAAGAGAAGAGAAGAGAAGAGAAGAGAAGAGAAGAGAAGAGAAGAGAAGAGAAGAGAAGAGAAGAGAAGAGAAGAGAAGAGAAGAGAAGAGGGGTTACCAAAATGGCGGGTCCAGCTGATTTGCATTCAGCGACGCTTTCAAATGCATTTATTATGAATCATAGAGATTTCCTTATTTATTATGTGTAAATTATCCCCTCCAAACTCGACATTTTTTTTATGTAAGAATTGTCCAGCCACACCCATTCATTATAATATTTTGCTAGGGCCCGGCTTGTTAATGATTTATGTGCTTTGCCGATCTTCTAGTCTATATTATATAATAATTTTTTGAGGCGAAAAATATACATCTCATTTTAGCTTATAAGAACCACTGTTGAATTGAGATCACATTGAAAGGGGAAGGAAAGTAGCTAGGGGAAGGTTCGGAATATAGCACAATCCCTCTCCCTTACTAAATTTAATTTAAATTTTCCAGGAGTTTTCATAAATACCGTTTTGTAAACTTTTAATAATTTTGCCGCTATTTTTGTTTTCTTTGATAATTACTCAATCTAAAAATCCTATAATTTAACTTTCTTTCTCTTTTAAGCCATTATATCTATTTGTGGCAATTCCTTTAGCAAATTTAATTTTTTTTTTTATGATTTATATATTTATTATAATTTTTTATTTTATTTTTTACCCGAAAATTAAATAATTTACAACAGTTTGAATAGAATATATTAAAAGTCATCATTGAATATTTTAAGGCATATTATTTATCGAAATATACACATATTTTTTTTTAGCTATAATTCCCTTTTTTTGCTCATAATGCTTTTGCTAAGTTTTTTTTACTATAATATATCATAATCATGAACCACTTTATTTGTCTCCGCAAGACCAATGTGTGGTACGTTATTAATGATATTTATTAAACACTAATGTAATAATAATAATAAGAATATAATAAATTTTCTTTTATAATAAAATTAAATTTAACGAAATTATCATGGAATCCCAATTCATTCCCCTCTCCCCCCCCCCATCCTTTTCTGTTGAAAAAATAAAAATAAAAAAATAAATTAAATTAATGTCACAAAAATATTTACCAAAAAATATATAAAAAGTTCTGACAAAAAAAAATTAAAAAAAATTGTTATATTATTTAATACTAATAAAAAAAAATTTTTTTTTAGCTTTTGTATCTTATTTGGTACATTTTGCCTTGTGTGATTCAATTAACATTTTTTTTTATGATAAATAATAATTGAATAATAATCGGCAATGAATAATTATAATGTCTTATTTATATATATATATTTTATGTATCGATAGCAAATCAAATCAATCAAAATTAAAGTTTCTTATCATTTTTTTTTGTATTTTTTTGGTAAATAATAAATTCTCATATTAATTATATTAATGAATTGTGATGATATCCAAAATATCTTATCTTTCTTCCATATATATGTAATAATATAATATAAGGATAAGAAGATATTATTTAATTAATTAATAATTATGTATGTATGCGTATGTATATATGTGTTAATTCCCAAAAACCTAAAAATGTCGGAAGATTTATGATGAAATAAAGATTTTAAAATTATTTAATATATAAGGGTGGTTTAATGTATAAGGTTTTTGTGTGTTTAATAGGTGTGAAGGAGAAATATATAATTAGCCCGTAATCTGGTATAGCTGAAGACCAACCACCTTAGTCCATTTTTTTTAAAGAAATCGATATGTATGATAGTACAGAAACTTCTACATTCCTTCTAAGACCAATAACAATATTACCATCTAAAAATACCTCCCCCCCCCTCTTTCCGCCCTTAGGATTTCCCAAGAGAAGAGTAGTAGGTTGTGCCCAATTCCTTTAAATATAATATCATGAAATTTTTGTTCTCCAAAATAGTCCATCACAAGCATATTATAGTATAATAGACAGTAAGTTCACAGGGGAGGGAGGGTTGGGGTAGCAGGGACCCATGCCACTCAAAGTAATTTTGATAATGTTAAGCTTAAAAAATACAGAAGGTAATTTTTGATTGTAAAGGCTAATCACGCTCCTGATGATATAACTTTTGTTTCCAAGGTCATAACATAATAGGGAATTATTTTAAATCGTTATGAGAAAATTGAAATATATTGCAAAAGATGAAGAAAACAGTTTCCAGGATATATTGCGATTAGAATAAAGAGAACGAGCATACAATTAGAAATATATATAATTTATTTTTTCGTTTAAATACTATTAATCCAAATTTACCCACGTGGTTCAGCTACACAGGCTATCTTTCCATATGGCTACTCCAACATAGTATATACTATATACATCTCTTCATCCAATATTCCTTGGGAATTTCGTTTATTATGCTCAAACCATCCAGATTTTATTTTATATTATAAGATTTTATGGATTTTTTTTTTTACTTCGTCTTCTTTCTTCTCGGAGTCATCTCACACATCATCATTCCAACCTTTCCCATCTCAGTTCTTTCCCATTTTGATTTCGTATAATGCCACCAAGTTTCGTCTTATTATGGATATAACGTATCTCACAAAGCATTTATCTTTTCTTTAAATTCTGTCTTTTGACTTCTTTTGTTATATCGATACCAATTTATTACCAACTCTACTAGCTTTTCAATTGTAATGACATATTGCATCATAGTCCAAACGATAATTTATTTTTTAGTTCAATATTTTAAAAGCAAATTATTTTTTTTGTATAAAAATTTGAAAGCGAGGAAAGCAGAAGATAATAAAAATTTCATAAATTTTATAGTCGCAATTTCATTGTTACAAAAAATGTATGCACAACTATATAGCATAATTTTAGATTTACTTCTTCAGTGGATAACTTCTCTAATTGATTTCTTTTGGTTATCAACGTTCACCTATAGCTAAATGCGCTAATTATATATAATAATAATAATCCTTTAATATATTGGTATGATGAAACATTATTCAGCACTGTTAATTCCAGTCCTTCACCTCTCTGTATCATGTTATCCGTTAGATTTAAGCTCTGTAAGTCTTCGAACATCACACACTTCTATTTCTTATTTGGATGCCTTCTATTTTTTACAATTTCCTGGTTCGCTATTTTTTTCTACAATATATTCCGACTCTCTCCTTTCTGCATGATCAAACCAACATAACTCACTTTCCTTTATATGCCAGAATTTAAGAGAAGAGATCATCAACATTTCCCTTATGGATCCCTTAGATCTAGAATCTTTGAGCATTCTTGCATATCGTGCGGCTCAGCCTCCACACAAACCTACCTAACCATTGACAAGTATATTTTGCTCTTAAGGTCTAGTCTTATATCTTCTTAATAGTATATATTCTTAACTCTACACTTTCCATAGGGAATTTTAGTTCCTTCATGTTAATACTCTGCAAAGTCAATGACCAATATTAGAAAAAAAGTTTTCACTTCCCTACCTCTAAATGGCATTTCTTCTCTTCTCACCCATACAAAGGATCAGACGTAAGCATCACATATATCATTTTTCTTCTATTTACCTTAATAACAAATCTCTCCTCCCATAACCTTACAAGTTTTGGCACCGATTTATCATTTCCATTCACCATAGAAATACCAAAAGGTATACATTGTAGACACAACGACTGTCTCTAATAAAGTTTCATTATTATCTCAAATATCTCGTATTACTTAGACTTCTGGGATCTTTCTTTTTCCCACCACCATAAAAAAATCCATAGGAACTCGATCATAAGTCTTGCCCAAATCAATGAACACCATTCATATATAGATCGCTCTGTTTTTCGCGGAAATATATTTTTACTTAGGTATTTAACTACAAATATAAGATCCATCGTAGATTTTCCCATTCTGACATATTAATTATTTATTAACTAACACAACGTTTTTCCATTATCCATCAACATCTTCATCTTATGAACTATTAACTTAAATGATTCTGCGCATTCTTTCGCATCACCTTTACCCCTAATAACTAGAAGTGTGTAATAGATTTATTAAAATTATCTGGCATCTCCCTTAATCCTAGGTCCAATCTAATCTCTTATTTAGAGATATATTTGAGAAGTAAAAAAAAATTAATACTCCAAAATTAGCTCCATCCGAGTCAAAAAAAATGTCTGTCTGAGTCTGACACTGGGTAATTTACCACATAGCTCTAGTTTATTTATACTATTGAACT